TGTCTTAGTCAGTAGGACTTTTCATCACTGAAACTGTCTTATGTTCTCCTGTCATACTTTTATAATTATACTTGCCTCAGCATATATATATACTCGAATATGATGAGGTGTTTAAATCTATAAGATATATGAAAAGGCACAAAATCTAGGGTACAAGTTTTCAGGTTAAATCTTGTTATTATTATTGCTTCATTTAATTCTTAGAGGAACATAGGGCTTCAGCCACCCACGTCGCCATTGCGTTCGGTTCTCTGCTGCAGTCTTCACCTGGCTCCAAGTCTGCCCACATGCTTTTATCTCCTCTTCACATGACCTCCTCCAAGTCGCCCTTGCACTGACGACCAACTCGCCACTTCCCTTTCGGGTTCCACTCGAGCAATGGCTTGTCTAGTGATGTCACTTGATGGCTTGTTTCCTCAGAGTATGGCCAGCCAATCCATCTCCATTTCTTCCTGCCTATTTGTTTCACAATCGGTTCCTGCTGTGTTGGTTCGCTCATTGCCAGAGATCTCTGTTGGTGATCTTTTCTGGCCGGCCATCTGATCTTGAGTAGTATTGAGCGAAGACAACTGGCTGTTGATGAAGGTCTGTAGTTTGTTTGAGATGCTCTTTATGACGCACAGTGCAAGTCTCTGATCCGTATAGTGAGTAGCACTGACTGACTTCACATTTGAGTTGAAAATCCGGATCTTATTTTTGATGCTGAGTGTTCTGTTGACCTCCATAGAAACTTGAGAGTAGTGAAAGCTTGTCTTGCTTTTCCGATTTCTGCTTTGATATCCTTGTCAGTTCAATCAGCCTGTAGTTGAAACGATGCTTCATATTGGTTTCATCTTATCTTACTTAGATACAATGTCTTTAAAAGTCATCACTTAATATTTGTATAGTTTTTTATTGCGTATTAATTAATTACTTATTTATCAATGCTTCTGTATGGTTCAAAGACTTCGAGACCCATCAAAAGCATTTCCAGCAGGCTACTGTAGACTTCCATCGGCAGCTGTCTTCCCTCGACACTGAAAGTAAAATGACCATCCAGAAAGAATTAGCGACAAGGAACTCTGTAAGCAAATCAACCAAGAACACGTCAACCAACATATACGCAGAAGGAAAGGGGAATGGAGTCAACACACTTTAAGGGGACCACCGAACGATGTGGCCTCTGATACAAGCCCTCGAGAAGAACCCAAACAAGAATAGGTGATTTTTATATCGGTGGGTAGCATAGAAGAGATTATGTGAGGAGGAGATGACAGTTTATAGACAGTCGTGAAGGCAGCTAAAAAGGACTTCAGGGAACAGGTACCAATGGCGATGTATTGCTGAAGCCCCATATTCCTTTCGGAACCCAAAGGAACAATACAATTAATATTAATAATAGTTTATTTCCATACAGAACACTGGGAGTATCTTTTGGTCTTCCTATTTCCAGTATGAAAAGTTTTCCATTTTGAGTTAATAAATAACCTTCAATCCTCGTTGGTATGACTCACAGTGTATTCAAAAGACTATTGAGATGTCGATCTATGATTATAGAGTGCACAGTTTACGTTCTTCTCTCTCTCTCTCTCTATATATATATAAATGAACATTCAAAAATTATCTCACCACTAATTAGTTTAAACTATTAAATCGACACACCTCTCTATTATCTGAAGTTTACTTAATAAACCGTTTAGTCGACTGTTATGACTGGGCCTCTTGGTAAATGCCTAAACCCATTGAATAGTTAAGGTGTATTGTTGATCCAGAAATGCGTAAAACATGCATCACATACAGCCAATTATAACCACCGTCTTCATCTGTGCACATTATGAAAAAAAATTAGCGAAACCACCTTCTGAAGATGTTTGTTCAGATAAACAATTTATTACTTAAATAAACAACTTTTTGGAACTATAGACCGAATAATAATATCAAAATAACACTGTAGGTAAGTAACATCATCTTGTTTAAATAACTCTATTTTAAAAATATATTGAAATAAATACGTGTTAAAATGAAGTGGACTGAATAAATCAATAACCACTTCAAGTGGTCAATAGTCAACTTTTGAAAGTCCAATAGCCAGCAGTTTTGTTTTAATTACACGTATTCCTAGGTAGAAAAAAAATGTCACACATGATTATTCGTTGAGATGTAAACGTTAAAACGGTAAACAGATGACAGTTTATTGGTATGTGTTCAGTGCAAAACAATTTTAATTATGAATCAAAATCATTTAAATAAATGTTGAAATTTTCAAGTATTGGTTTGTAGGGATTTTGTTTGATTGGTTGGAGAATTTCATCGTGAACCGATACCGGCTACAGAACCATTGGGAAAGCTGAGAGTACTGGACAGCTTTTTGGTCAGCCTAGTTTGAGACTCTTCAGTAGTACGCACCCACCACAGGGAGTTCGAACCCAGAACACTCTGGTTACAAGGCGAGTTCGTAGACAATTAAGCCACTGGGAGAGAATCAAGTGGCTCACGAATTCTGACTTCTGCCAATTGACGACGTAGCCCGACCACTTAGCAATGTCTTCGATGAGTAACTGTCCTCACCTTCGACCTACTGTACTGTACTAGTCATGGTATTGGTTTCTAGGGATTATGTTTCAGTGGTTAGAGGATGAAGAGTCCCTAACTAGGATGAAACAGCTGTCTAATACTCCCAGGTTTTCCAATGGTTCTCTAACTGATGTCAGATCATTATGAAATCCTCCAACCAAATGTTATGACGTTAATTTGTGTCGAGTACAAATATGTAGCCCTACATTTGGTTCTATCAGTGGTTCATATTATCTACATTAGTTTGATTACAACGGAAATTATTTTCGTGTGTTTATACAAGTTCATATAATCTGAGTTTCCTACAGACTGGATATCTCTTGCTGATGAGTAGCAATCAGCATGAAATCTAACTAAAGGACGTCGTTTCCAATGATTTTCCGCCATAGTGTATTACAACGAACTGAATTGCACTTTACTGCGTAAAGCTATGGTAACATTCAGTTTGATGACCAAACTGAATACTTGATAGATTGTCTTAAATCAACATTCATGTCAGAAAACTTCTTTTCTGGTTAGCATTTGGTAACCATTTAGCAGTTAGGCAAAAAGTGAATTAATAAATCAATAGATAATTGTAGTTTAGTTTCCTGGTTCTCCCATTCCTTTTTAATTGCCCTCGTATAATAACACTGGATGTGACAGTGAGCAAGAGCATAAAATAGTAACTTAGAAAAATGTAAGCTCTAAGACCACACTTATCATACCATTATCTCCTTTACTTTTCATAATGTCACCAATTCGTAAGAAAATTCTCTTTGGTAATGTTTATAATTTCATAAGGAACTACTCAACCTAGACTTTTGATTTTCTATACTCTCATATATTTGTGGTCATTATATCAATATTCAGAGTATGTTATCTTCTCAGTGATTCTAGGCTGTCAGCAGCTAGTGAGAATCTGTGAAATAAAATGATGTTTTATAATATAAATTTGCTTTGTTTATCTTTGACAAGATTTATCAGTGGAGTGACACCTATCAAAAATAAAACTCCTAGGGCAACTCTTAAGTCTGCTTTCAGAATTTCACTGCACTTGATACCCACATCTTTGATATATATATTTTTGCGTGTATATGTACCAAGACTATTAACATTCTTGATAGGTAAACTGTGAGCTAGCCTGACAATAACCTAAGTGAAATCATCAACGCTGAAATGTCAGTCATCAAATGAACTAAATAATCCTGTTTCAACTGTCTGTCATCGTCCCAGCAGGCGATATGTATGGACGGTAAAAATTACATGAGACACAATTGATCTTAAAGCATATGACTAACTCAAATATTTTTTTTATTCCTTTACTTTCCCAGTGGAACATTGGGCTTCAAGCTAGAGGCTTGAAGTTTCTGTAGCAGTAGTGATTATTTTTACGGGATGGGGTTGCTAGCCTCATGCCAAACTTTCTCTCTTTATCAGTCTAATTACTGGTTTAACGAGGTAAAGGGGTGCGTCGGTGGCCAGGGATCGAGTCCCGGACCACATGTGTAGTCGGCAAGCATTCTACCGTCGTGCCACTAACAACTGAAATATTGACCAATATTAATTTGATTAGTTGGAGGATTTTATGATGAGCTGACGCCGGCTAGAGAACCATTGGGAAATCTGGGAGTAATGGTCAGCTGTTTCGTCATCCTAATTTTGGACTCTTCAGCGGTACGCACCCACCCCCAAGCTTCAAACTCAGGACCTTCTGGTCACAAGGCTAGCGAGCTCGTAGACCATTAAGCCACTGGGACTTGATCCAATGGCCCATGAATTCTAGCTTCTGCCAATTCATGACATAGCGCAACCACTTCACAATGTCTTCTTCGATGAGTTACCTCCTCACCTTAAAAAAAACCAATATTTAATATTAATTTGTTGTGAAACAAAAATAATCTGTAGAAAAATACTTCAGATATGCTGCATCATTTCAGAACTGGCTGTAAATGTCCACCACACCCAGCAATACAGGACTGCTGTACCAGTTAACCAGTCATTAGCAACATATAATGCTAGTCACATGAATATCCAAAAACTGGAAATTGCAAAGTTTGAGAACCTGATGCAATTAGTGAATATTTTGTATGCCTACTACATAACCTGATGCTAAATTCTAGGAATCACTTCTACTTGAAAATAAATGCCCTAAAAATGGAACATTCGCTCCTAATTCAACAACACGATGATTACCGATTAATTCGCAAATTATGTTTACATAGGAGGTAAAATTGATGCTAATTCGCATACATCAAAGAGTAGAACTTCTTAAATCAGCTTTGTGCAGATAAAAACGATTAAATAGAATTTAACGAATTATTTTGTTAACATGTAATGATTAATTGACGTGTAAGCCAACGCCTAATTTTCATTCACTGGCTATATAGAGCCGTACAGACATTTCAATAACTTTGTATTTAAACCTATATCTACAGTTTAGATGAAAAATCCACTCACTGCCTTCCAAAAAAACCTGCTATACAATCATCAATTCTTATATAAATTTGCCTACACAATAATAATTTGGAAAAAGGAGAAATTCATTGTATTGTATTAGGCTTAGTTTGTGTTCAATATCATCAACAGTACAAATTATCCGTTTATTTGATTGGCTATGAGTCACTTGAAAACTATTGGCCAGCATGGAATAAAGTGAAGGTCATTTGAAAATTGGACCAGATTTTGGCGAAATGTGTTGTTATTACCCGTCCTGATTTGTATTCTGTCACGTTGTACTTCAGAAAAAGGATGGAATTATGTAAGTTATCATGGTCAATTAAAATTATTATTTTTTTTACTTCGGAATGTTTTATAAATCCTAGGAAGTCAAACATTTTGTATACTAAGTAATGATAATTAATACGATAATAGTTTAGAGTATATGCAATTTTAGAAGGTTAATGGCAATTGAAATAAATGTGATTAATATGTGATACTTTTAGATGGGCATTTACTGTGGTGAAAATTTCACCGTGTCGCAAATTAAAGCAACTAATTCAGTTCATAAAAGGTCACAGATACTGTAGTAAATAAGTGTTACCTATGCTCTTAGTATTTCAACACAAACAATGACTTTCATTGACTTAAGTATCTACTAAATCAAGACTTCACTGCTACTTATAAGGTCTAAAATAGGCAATAGAATGATAACTGAAGTTGGAAAATACCCTGAGTCCTATTCAGATTCTAGGCAACCGCCTACAATTTCCCAGTCCTGCTCTCTGTCTACTAAATGATTTTAGACATCCAGTTATTGATTAAGTCATATTTGTACCTTGATCTCGAAGAGCGCAATCCAGTTTTCATGAGAACATGTTAAAGGCTACAATGTTTTCCTTATGACACTTCCTGCTCAGCTAATTAAGCAGGTTAATATATGGTAAATTGTTCTTCATGTTGTATAATATAATCCCAATTTGAATACTATCATTACCCAACTTCTTATCCCCAATCTAACACCATTATTGTTAGTCTTCATAACTGAAACACCACCTCAAAGAGTCTAACAGTCTTTAACTTTAGGTAAGTTATGAATATACAAAATCGGTTCACGTTTATATTTTAGAAGTAAAATATACATAGATTTAGAAATTGAATGAAAAAGATATTCCTTTTCAAAAGTGGCTTTATGTCAGTGATTCAAACCGTATACATAAGTTTCTTTAACGGTGATTCTCTTTTTTCTTTTTTCCTTCATGTCCCTTAGTGAAACATAGGGCTTCAAGCTAGTGGCTTGAAGTTTCTGTAGCAGTAGTGTTTATTTTAACTGGATGGGGTTGCTAGCCTCATGCCCAACCTTTCTTCTTCACCAGCTTTTTAGTTCTGGTTTAGCGAGGTAAAGGAGTGCGTCGGCCGGGGATCGAACCCCGGACTATGTGCATGGTCGACGAGCGTCCTAACCGCTATGCCACCGACGCACACCTTTTTAACAGTGAACCGAATTGCTATTTCCAAAGTGTATTAATAGAAAATTATTGAGTACTAAAATTTGTAAAATAAAAAATTAACAGTATTACGAACATTTCATAGTGGAACAACAATTTTTCTTTAGAAAAAGTGTCATATCTTAAGAATCTATGTGCTTTTTCTTTCGACTTATTAAATTACTGAGATCTGTCGGCTGTTAGACACTTAAAATGTCCACTTTAGAATCATTTTTTTGCTCAACATGACATTAAATGGCTTAAACATTCAATATTTGGTTTTTCTGACTATCAAATTGTGATTGAAAGGTAAACCTTCCTAGGCAGTTTTTCAAATTTGTATGTGTGTATGTATATATCCGGTTTGTAGAATACCTACCAGACACGCACGTAATCCACGTTGGATTCCTGACTGACGTACTCCTCAGGCCAGCCTAACTTGTAGCATGCCAAACAAACAGGGAAGGTTGGAGGTCAGACTAGCGACTTCACCCCGTAAGAATATACCGCCACTGTTGAAAATTTAAGGCTTAAAGCTCGAAGCCCTATGTTCCACTGAGAAAGTAAAGGAATGGTAACGAAAAGAAATCTTCATTTCAGAAAGAAAAGTTTCAGCGTATTTAGTTCGAGAATACTTTTTCCTTCATACAGGATTTAAATGTAAAGTAATAATCTGGAGGATATCTTCATTTCGTTGAAAAATTTGCTCAGCGCTTCCTTGGAAGCAAGTTAAATCGGCGCGCAAGTTCATGTATAGCTTATTTAATATAACTGGACGATTAAAACACTGATAAATCCGCATGAAATTTAGCATTTTGGTGGGAAGCAAATTCTATAGCGCACTGAGTCAAGTGTCCGTCGGTGGCACAGCGGTAGAATGCTCGCCAACTACGCAGGTGGTTTGGGGTCCAATCCCTGGCCACCAACGCACTCATTTATCTCTCTAAGCCAGTAATAGGACTGGTAAAGAGGGAAGGTTGGGCATGAGGCTAGCAACCCCATCCCGTAAAAATAATCGCTACTGTTACAGAAACTTCAAACCTCTATCTTGAAGCCCAATGTTCCACTGGGAACGTAGAGGAATAAAAATTTGATTCAAGCAGGCTGCTTTGTCACCTATATGTATATATACATCCGACTTAATTTACTCTACAAAATCCTGAGACATACAAATCGATTTCTAGGCAATAATTAATTTTGCTTTATCACAGAATAATTTTATTTGATATAAAATACACAATGATACAGTATTATTTATGATCATTATGATTATGAGTAATAAATTAAGCTGAAAATATCATCATTAAATAATACTATATCACCGTGTTTTTTATATAGAGTTATTCACTACCCCAATGCCAAAATTCTATTTTTTAACCAATTTTGTTATATGACTCCAAAAACTGGTCACCATACATTGTTTAAAACGATTTAGATTAGTACCAGAATCTGATCAGCTTCATTGGTTGTCTATCGTGCATTACAATATAAACATTACCCTGAATAGCTAAGTAGCAAAGAACTCGGCTCTGTTAATGAATGATACAGGTTCAAATTTACAGAAACTGACTCGATTTTCATTTCGATGAGAGGACAATTTCCCGCAGACCAACTCCTCCTGATATGTAGCACACAGAAGCGAAATTTCAAAAATTGCGCAGAGCAGTGTATCACCACCTACCTCGAACTAGTTCTTACAGTTTATCGATTGGTTCTGACTTACACCTATAGAACTTAATAATTAGATTGATTAGCGTCCAGCTAATAATCAGTGTACATTGCAGACATGCCGTGTTAGCAACTGTTGACAAGTAGAGGTCGTCTTGCCAACAGACTACTACATTAACACATCTAAAGCTTTAATTATGCAAAAATAATTTCTCTTTATTTTTCACTGTGACAAGGACACTGACGACGTAATTTTAAACAAATAATGCGTCACCTGAAGTCACCACTGTTTATTAAGAGATAACAAAAAAAAGCAGGTCAGACTTTATTTACATATGAAAATGATGTGATGTATCTAAAGGATTTCACTGGTCAATAACCTCAAAGGAATATATATGTATACGTATTCAGAGCACAGTTAACGTTCATCATTTATACTTTAGATGCGTAATTCTATGACTGTTTTCAAAGAAATGGTATTTTTAAACGATACTTAAATGAAATAGGTGAACAGAATGGATAGTTTTTAATTAGTGGATGGTGACTAGCAGTGGAATCCAGGATGCTCATTTCATCCTAATTGGGACTCGTCAGCTGGATGTACCTGCATTTCTCAGTGAGTGATGATGTTCCAACCGAGGCTCGAACGCAGTGCTCATAGTTTCAAAAGCCAAAGCGTTATCCACTAGACCACTTGGGCCGCAACATGTCAACCTGAGACCGAGCACTTCGGTCCAATCAGTCGACGGGAAAATCTAAAATTCAATTAAATCAATATGACCCGTTGCTCAAGAGGTGGCTCTCGTGGTCCAAGTGGTTTAGTGGACGATGTCTGGAGTTTGAACTGATAGGAACTGGGTTCAAGTCTCACTGGGAACACTATCACTCGCTAGGGAATGAAGGTGCATCCAGATGACAAGTCCCAAAAAGGATGAAATGCGCATTCTGGATTCCACTGCTAGTCACCACCCACTGAATCACTTCAGGAGTGGATGGTTGTTTATATTACTTGATAGGTATTGAAGGAATCTCTTAACAAGAAAATGAAGACATTGGGTTCTACGCTCTTGTTTTTCATCGCCCACTTTAACCTGGGAAACAGTGTTGTATCATAAACTGTAAAATGTAAATGTTGCTCACACACACTGACTGGTACATAGAAAATCTGTTCCAGGTAACTGAGTCCTAACGGTAATGCAGCCGAGTAGAATATTTCACCAAAAAACTCCACTGACTCAATGAATAACTTCATTACAATTCCAAATGGAATTTCTGTAACCAGACTTGTAGCAGATAAACAGCTTAACAAAAGGTGCAAATCGTCATAAATCCTGGAAGACTGGGTTTTTACTGTTTCTTAGACTCATTTGGATAACATAGTTCTCAGTGTGTATGTACATCAAATAGGTTTGAATATTTCCAGACGAAATTTTAATAACCATCATTATTATTGACGAACTGACAGACTGGTTTCAGGGTAGAACTTTGTACAGATGTACACCAGTTCGAGTTGCCACTCTTCATGTAGCACACAAAGTAAGAGAAGAAAGTAAATAGATTCAAAAGAGAAATAACAGACAGAAATATGAGGCGAAAAGAATAGTAATATTGAAGAACAGTAGAGTGTTATTGGATATTATCAATCATAAAGAGTGAATGAACCCGCACCAGTCATCATTGAAGACGATTTTGAGCTGTATCAGCAATTGTCTCTAACCATTGATTTTGACCCTCCTGAAGACCCCAACCAGTCAGGAAGTCTACACCTCCCTACGTGTCTGCCTGACTTAAACTAACTGTTGTGAACTTCATTGACTAATGAAGCCATGTTTTGGTGTGCCCATCAGTGGCTCTTTTCCAACCTAATCCATCCTATGTCAGCTAACATTGCCCGTCGGTCGAGGAAGGCGATAGCTAGGCAGGCATGCGTAACACATTTCCTAACCATCTCAATCGATGTAAATTCACAACCTTGTCTATTGATTTCGAATCCTTACCTAGCAATCGACGCCTGACCTCAATACTGCTCATCCTATTATACCACTTAACACGGGAGATAGAACTCAGGCACCTATGATCAAAGACAGCTAGGTAGCCTTTTCATGTCTTCCACTTTCAGTGCCTATGTCTGACTCACAGCCATAAAGGAGGACGTAGCGGAGTGCTG